ACCATCATTTTATAACTATACTAGCCAAGAGGTGGTGTCTCTTGACCAATAAGTTTCATTTGCCTATCGGTAAGATAAATTTACTTTCATATTTATATATTATCGTTCTATTTATAATTTTCGTACTTTACATTGTATATATCTATCAGGTGAGATGACAGTAACTTTACAAGACGTTCAAGTAATTTTTTGGTATTAGGACGGTTGGAAATACCCTAGTCGGGCCTAAAGTTGTTGGCCTAGAGTTGTGCTGTCTGAGTTGGCCTGCATGTTGTGACGGGCCCTTGCATGCCCATCCCAGGGATGCCGTTATCTATCACCATCCCATCCCATAGACTATAACATTATATCAAAATTCTATATGGGACGGTCTTATTCACAGGCTATCATGTCATTGCGTTGGCTCCACTGCCAATTATACTGGGAGTCTTATGTGGATTTACGACCATGTGAGTTTGAGGCATGTTAGGCCCTTCATTTTGTTCGTGATAGGATGTTTCCTACCTAGTTCCAGATACATTTGGATCACATGTTCGCATAGAATATTTACCATTGTTGGAGAGTTCGAATCATTTTAGACAATACTCTTTGGGTGGAGCGGTTCTAGTATATCTATATAAAGAATTGAATGTAGCTACCAAGCTTTCCTATGGCACGATTGGTGGATGTTTGCATTTGCTCAAACGTGGGCTTGAGAGCGCTTACATGTTGGTAGACCCACTTTTCTTGTTTATGTTCCTTACAAATTAGTATAAAAATCTCTCGGATTCACGTACAAAATTATTTTTTCTAATTACACCTAAACACTAATTTTTTAAATTACGTTCAACCCATTTGTTTAAATAACATCAAGTGGAATGAAGAGTGGGTACGAGAAGTGTCGGTTCTAAATATCATCATGATAGAGATAATTTGATGGACTTAGATAAAGTCAGGTATAATACTTTTTTTTTTTTAATCTCTTATTCTTGTCTTAAATATATCTTAACTAAATTTAATTTCTAATTTCATACGCAGGTTATTGGACATAGTGTTGTTACATGACATATTTTGAGAACATATATATTTGGACTGCCCGTATTCCACTCGTAAACTAGAAACGTGTCAAGTGTTATCTTCTAAATTGCATTATGCGACAGTTTTCGAGCATCCAGTTTATAACCATTAAACCCATCGAATAAGGTTTTGAGAGAGTCGATGGACAAGGTAGGGTAGGAGAGCAATATTACAGTAAATATATCTAGATATGAAATAATTGTCTGACATTTATTGTACCATCAAACCCATCATAAGGAGATGGGGAGGATTAATTAGCTTATTATTTGTAGTGTTATTTCTCTTGGGCATCGCTCTACTTAGCGAAGGCTCCAACTCGACCTCCTGATAGCTTTTATGTACGTTGGCCATTAGAGAGAATAATGGTGTGTATTTGTATTCTTTTACAACAAATACTATTTTTTTATTATAATAAATAATAATTTTCTAAGATTATCAATTATACAACTGTATTGCTTCATTCGTTGCAAGGACATTGCAAAAAAGTTTGGAGGGGATCGTGGCGCAAGTGCTAACTCCACGAAACAAGGTTATGACGAGATTTTGGAGCTATTGCGCCCAATAGAAAAATCAATACACATTGATTACGAAACATTTGATCGGCCAAGTGGACATGATTTTGAAGCAGGTTCGATTCATAGAACAAATGTTAGACCGCAAGGCCCCCGTAGATCAACCTCTGATGCTCTACGTTGGTCGTCTTCAGCTGCTGCAAGACGATGAACAAGAAATGCTCCAAGGAGATCTTTGATTAGCAGAACACAAAGATCTTTGTTTTAAGAGTCATAAGAACAATAATATTCTGAGACATCTGCTTATCGTGCCCAATCAGTATTTACGGGACCCTCCAGTTATGCAGGAGCCTCCAACTATGTAGGACCATCTAGCTATGCAGGATCTTCCGACTATGCAGTACCATCAGCATATGAGATTCTATTATTTGACTTGCAGTTGATAACCACTACTGGTGGAGATTTAAATTTAAATTTTCAGCATTCGTATGTCTACGCCTATTTCTGCTGTAGGCATGGATTTCAATACAACACAATTTTATTCTACACCAAATCTCAAATATAAAAAAAAAATATTGGATGCCATGAGATGCTATGAATGACACAACTGAAATCGATGATATTGAAGAAGAATTTCAAGAATATCAGTTGCCACGTCTACCACTAATACCACCGTCTCGGTATATATCGGGCTCAGACGTTATTCCACTCCGACATAGAAGGATAGCATTTTTTTGTAAATGCTATGTTACAAAAATATTCAAGTATGAATTAAATTTTATGAATTTCTTATTTTGTTAGTTAATTTAATTTGTTCAATTATATTTTTTTAATTAATTAAAAAATTAATTACAAGTTGTTAATTGATGTAAAATTTAATTATTAATTTTGATATTTTTGTTAATGTATATAATAAATATTAATAATATTTAGTATATATTAATAATAATTTTATTTATAATAAACTCCCTTAGGGGGCACATTCCTTAATTAAACGCGTCCTCAAAGGGGGAGCGTATGCTCATTTCAATTTTTTTTTAGGGGAGTTCCTTCCACATAATCTGTTATTTTTCTAGCTCCTTTTTGAAATTTTACCCACTCTTAATAGATGAAAAGTATCATTGCTGTAGGTATTTATTATAGAAGACTTGATGAAACAGTTGTCCCAAACAACAGTCCACCAGCACTTGAGGTTTTCAGTTTGCCTGGTAGTAGATTAAGAGATTTAAATGTCACCTACTTGGCCCCCAGGCAAAAAACTTAAAATATATAACTGATAAAACACCAGATAATATTAATTGAAGCCAAGCTATTTAGTAAATTGCACGAGCATTACATTTGTGGCCCACTCATTTTTTTTTAAAAGACTTCATGAAAATCAAAATAAAAGCTTATTTCTGAAAGCAACTTAAATTATCCAAAACTGGAAGACTTTATCAGCATCCAACTGAAACTTTTCATATGCTTGTCAAAACTTTCAAATCGATTGTTATCGATGCTGCAGGTTAAAGCATATTGGAAGTTTCACTAGAGTCATGGAGGTTAATCAGTAATATAATCTCTCCAGGAGTCTCTTGGACTTAAAAGATGCAATCAAAATTCAAAGGAAGAGTTGCAAACTATCAATTCGGCATTATTGGTTGAAGGGAAATATTTATCTAAAGTGGACACGATTGATTTGTAGGCTCTTAAAGTGAAGAAAAAAATTATATTATTTGCAAGGCTCATAAAGATAAAAATAATTCCTTGGAACACTTGAAAAATATCTTTTAAACTACATGTACTCTTAGCATTCTTAGGTGAATAACGTGCAAATATACTTACCAATTAATTATAAATGGTAGTCATTTAAAAGTCATCAAGCAAGTTTGGAATGGATGACATCCATGTATTTTCTTGATGTTGAGTCTGAAATGCATGCATAATTTATGTTAGCTGGGACCCACATTTACCAATACTTTTGCTCTCTTTCCTTCATCTTTTAAGCTATTTCACTAATCTGCGAGATTCCTATTGTGATCTCATCAATCCCTAGATTATTATAATTATTCTATAATTGTTCGATTATGATTTTATATATATTTTCTATTAGAAGCTCTCCTAGGATTGTATAAACACTGTACAAATTTAGAATGTATTTCCAAAGTCAGTTATCTCTAATTCTTGTCAAAGGTAGCAGGCGAAGAAAATATAATGGAAGGCTTTTTTTATAGTTATATACTTATATCTATTTTAGAAGATAAATAGAATGATATCTACTTTTGAGCAATAATATGAATAAGCTCTCGGTTTAACCATACCTTAAGGAGATCAAAACCTTATTAACCTACAATAAGAAAGCATGATAATTTATTAACCTACACTTAGAGAGCTTGACATGTCTTGTTATTCTTCACTGCCTATTCTGTAAACACGCCTTCCTTGATTATATTGTTTAACTTTTAATTTTCTAAGAACTTTTATAAATACTAGTTGTCTTAACCGGGCCTTGAGTAAAAACCTAGAGTCGTCAACGAAAGCATCAGTCAGTGAAGTTATAAGGATATTTTTTAATTTAGAATTAGAGGTTTTTATTAATTTTTTTTTATTTTTTGACATTGAGAATATGGATTTTAGTGATGACATTTTTGACAAATCCATGTAATAATAGAAAAACGAAGAATTGACTTTATACATTAACATAAGAAATATTCAAAAGCAATCTAAATATGAATGCATCCGAAATTCAATTGGCCTACAATTTCAACACTAGCGTTGGCAGAAATTGAAGGATTTGTCATCAATTTTCTGTCTAAGCTGCAAACTAGTTAGAGGGTGCTATCACTATCAGCATGCCACAAAGAGGGCCTTGAAGGCTCATATGAAAATAGTAACCTTTCAGTACAAGCAGTTTGCATAATTGCAGCAGTTGTTGATTTCTGGATGCTTGAGAGATGCTGAAAAATCGAGCTGAAATGGGTTGTGCTGGTGGGGCGCATCTTCTTTGAAATCATGTTATTTGTGACCTTTGTTGAGAAGCTGAGAATTGAAACATTCAGGGTTGGAAGGGCTCAGCAGAAGATAAAAGTTTATGTTTGTGATCTTTTGTTAATTTTATATGGTTAGGGATTAGGTTCAACCCTTCTACCAGTGGAACATTTTTAATTAGTAGTGTCCCTACTGGAATAATTTCATTGGAGAGAAGTTTGTGTCCTCAAGGATACTGTAGTGTTTACTATATGTTGTTTTAGTTTATTTATGGTTATTTATCAGCTACATAAGGGAAACTGTTGAATCTTAGCTCAACATAGAAAATTCCCATTTTTCATATGTATTTTGAATGATTTACTTATCAAGTGATAAGCGTTGAAATTGTCTTTAAGTTTTTACAAAGACACCCCTTTGATTTGGTATAAGTTCATTAATCTCTAATATCCATTCTTTGAACTGCAGATAAATGATGGCATTGTTCTTCCAGACAAAACTTCCTTGTATTTGACAGCAATTGAAGATGCTGAATATAAAGAGGACAAGATTGAATGTTATTTTTTTTTGGTCTCTTGTTTTTTACGATTTTGTTTCTTTTAATTTTGTCATATTTGTGATTCTATTATTACATTTTTTCAGTTTGGAACAATGTTTATGGCTTTGACATGAGTTGCATCAAGAAGCAAGCCATGATGGAGCCTCTTGTTGATACAGTAGATCAGAATCAGATAGTCACGAATTGCTTGTTACTTAAGGTTTTTTGAACCAGCTTACCTGCCACATATCCCCTCAAATTTTCCTACTTATTTCATTCATGTGCCAACTTTTAATTCCTTTAAACTAAACTTATCCCTTTCTGCTGAACTTAATTTTAATGTCAGACCATGGACATATCAAAGATGGTTGCTGGTGATGTGTCTTTCACAGTACCTTTCAAACTTGTGGCCGAACGCAATGATTTTATACATGCTCTTGTGGCATATTTTGATGTGGCATTTACTAGATGTCATAAGCTAATGGGATTTTCGACAGGTTAGTTTTCTTTTTCTCAATTTTATATCACTTACTGGAAGCAACCATATTCATAATACTTAACAACATTTTTCAAAAAAAATTATTTTCTCCATAATAGCTTTACAATAAATTTTTCAAAAAACTGAAATTGTCAAACAGGCCCCTAATTTATTTTATTTTATGGCTATTAAAGATAGCATGAAGGCCTCCTTGCCTCAATGGTTTGTAAGGCCCTTCATAGTTTGAAGTTATAAATTTGATACATGAAAATGGATTTTCTACTTTTTATAAGGAAGGCTGTAGTTGCATTTACATGAACCCGACTTATCGGAGTGATTATGATTGCCTTAACAACCAGAGTTCATCAGAAATTCACTTGTGAAACCCGATATATTCTCTAATGTGTGTTTTAATACAGGGCCTCGATCAAAGTGCACCCACTGGAAGCAAACAGTTCTGTATCTGGAGGATGTGCTAACGATCTGTGAGGGAGAAGCACTTGTAGGGAGCATGTCCGTAGAACCAAACAAGAAAAATCACCGAGATATAGATATAATGCTCAAGTATTCCTTAAATGGAAGGCGCTGTCAGGTATCCAATGTTCAGTATTATAAAATGAGATGACCATAGTAGATGGATGAGCAATGGCTGTAACTGTGTCGTGTAACAAGGAATTGTCTCTTTTTTTTTTAAATTTATTTAAAATGGCATGTATGTGAAACATTTTTTAGCGATCTGTAGAAGTAAATTCAATGCTGCAGTATTTTTTATTCTAACTGAAAATTCACTTTTGAGTATTGAGGTAGATTTGAGAGTGGATGGTTCTATATCATTTGGACATTTTTATTATCCTAACATAAGAGTTTGTTCAGGGTAATATTTTAGATTGATTTGCGCGATATAGGATTATTATTTCATGGGACACTCTTGGCAAAAAGAATGAGTAGAATGGAGATTCAGTTTGCTTTTTCTTTTTCTTCATGCTTTTTGTTTGCTAATCAAATTTGTGTCTAGGATTAGCTCCCATTTATGGAGTTTGAATCACCGCTTGATTAGGGATGTGACCCACGCAGGCCTGCGAGCTGGATCAAGCTTGACTCGTTAACGAGCTCGTGAGTAGATCTTATCAAGCCATGAATTCGAGTTCAAGCTTGTCTAGGCTCGGCCCGTTGGCTCGACTAATCGATTGATGTTCAAATGGATGACTAATCGATTGATGTTCAAATGGATGCCTTCTTCGGCAAACCTCCTAGACAAATTATGCAGCCATCAATGCCTTCTGATGAACTTGTGATGATTTAATTTTCATTTCTAGCTTCTTGCACATGTTGGTCTTTTTTTTTTTTTTTTTTAATGAAGGCTTTAGCCCGAAGATATGTGATTATAAGTTTTTAGGTACAATGTTTATATCAAAGGAGCTATAAAAGTTCTTATTTAGTACCTGTGATGCGTTTAGTGGTTTCATTCGTCATGGCTAATTCTAATACACACGTATATTGAAGTTGCAATATTGTTTTACATGTATATCAATCAGGTATTGGAATTTAAATATTTTATGAAAATTTCATTCTTAATGTGTATATCATTAAAAATATTGAAGTATTAAAATAATATAAACTTTAATCTTACCCGAACTTTTCCTTCTCTATGCTGCCTGATCCTGCAGCCCCCAATTGCCATTTAGTTCGAGGTTGCTGCCGGCCTCGCCGGAAACTTGCAAAGGCCAACATCCTCTGCTGTCTGTGAGGTCGCGAAGTCTGACCTCGTCGTTGACATGAAGATCCCTTTCATTTTATTGCAATTTCATGAAGTCTAATCTTCTTCGCTGCCTATGTGATCATGAAGTTCAATGATATCGTCGGCCTTGAGATCTTATTATTATTCTTATTATTTTGGGAAGAAGGAGAGTTAAGCTCAGTTTTATTAAATATTTTAAAAATACATAGAACATGAAAAGCAACTAAAAGAACTTGAGGATCAAAATGTATCCAGGTAATAATGCCAACATATCTCGAAGTTTTAACTGTCAATCAAGAGTAACATTTCCCACCAATGGGAAAAATACAGAAAGATTCATGTCAAAAATAGAAAGAATAAATTAGTATGAGAAAAAGATTAAAAATATTGAGCTTAGATTAACTGATCCCACCAAAAACATTGGAATTCTATCCAATAAAGAAGGATTATATCAAAAATAGAAAACAATGAAACCATAAATTAAGAACAGATAAATATTTCAGTAATAGTAGTTGCTATGTTTGGAGAAAGAATCACATAACTTCATCCGAAGAACATAAATGAATCAAAATAAAACATAAAAGGAATTCTCCATAAATGATGTAGATCCAAATAAACTATTTTTGGTTGGATAACGTCATAGTTCAGTAAATAATCATATCAATTTTCCAAGTAAGAAAATGAAAAAAAAAGAGAAGAGAGAAGAAAAGATAAATGAGTAAAGATGAAGTAGAATTAACCAAATAAAAGAGGAGCAAAAAGTAAATTAAACTCCAAAATAAGGAGAAAGATATAACAGCAGAATGTTGATATATCGTATACTTTCAGATTTATTATTAACTTCATTTTTAAATTCTTAAAAATGAGAAATTTAGGAAACCAGTTAATAAGTCAATTTTGAAGTTTAATATTCGAATTCTTGTTAAGTTGAAGGCAAATGCCAGCTTTGTTTATTGGAGTAGGCCAATGAATGATTTTATTAAGATAAACGTTGATGGTAGTTAGAAAATTCATAGAGGGCTTTGTAGAAATACATATGTTAAATGTGTTGCTTGTTTTACTGCTCCCTGGATCCCTATTTCTCCTCTAGTCCTTGAGGTTAAAGCTATTAATAAATCTCTTTCTTTGGCTAAAAACCGCGGTTGGCATCTAATTCATGTGAAGACTGATTCGTTGTTAATTTAGAAATTTTGTGCTTAAAGGCGGATTATTCGTGGAATGTTTTTTTTACATATGAAGAAGATTTTTGCTTTAAATTCTTTTTTACAGGTTGGTCACATATTCATAGAGAAGTTAATAAGCCAACTAATTGGGCTGCTAAATTGGGTTGTTCAACTCAAGTTGTTTTTGTGTCAAATATCGTACCTAATAATCTTTCTTTTCTTATTCATGGTGATAGATTAAAATTTCCTTTCCCTAGAGTTGTTCATGGTGTTTTGGAATTCCATCCAATAAAGAAGGATTATATCAAAAATAGAAAACAATTAAACCATAAATTAAGAACAGATTAATATTTCAGTAAAAGTTGAGTTGCTATGTTTAGAGACAGAATCACATAACTTCATCCAAAGAATATAAATAAGTCAAAATAAAACATAAAAGGAATTTTCCACAAATGATCATAGTTCAATAAATAAACATATCAATTTTCTAAGAAAGAAAATGAAAAAAAGAGAAAAGAGAGAAGAAATGATAAATGAGTAAAGATAAAGTAGAATTAACCAAACAAAAGAGAAGCACAAAGTCAGCAGCAGCATGTTGATATATTGTGTACTTTCAGATTTATTATTAACTTTATTTTTAAAATTCTTAAAAATGAGAATTTTAAGAAACCTGTTAATAAGTCAATTTTGAAGTTATTTTTGAAGTTTAATATTTCTAATTCTTATTAAGTTGATGGCAAATGTCAGCTTGGTTTATTGGAGTAGGCCAACGAATGATGTTATTAAGATGATCGTTGATGGTAGTTAGAAAATTCATAATGCCGAGATTGTTGTAGAGATATATGTGGTAAATATGTTGCTTGTTTTACTGCTCCCTCAATCCCTATTTCTCCTTTAGTCACTGAGGCCGAAGTTTTTGTTAAAGCTCTTTCTTTGGCAAAAAACTGCGGTTGGCATCAAATTCATGTGGAGACTGATTTGTTGTTAATTTAGAAATTCTGCGCGTAAAGGCGGATTATTCGTGAAATATTTTTTTTACATATGAAGAAGATTTTTGCTTTAAATTAATTTTCACAGTTTGGTCGCATATTGATAGAGAAGTTGATAAGCCAGCTAATTGGGCTGCTAAATTGGGTTGTTCAACTCAAGCTGTTATTGTGTCAAATATTGTACCTAATAATCTTTCTATTCTCATTCATGGTGATATCTATTCTCATTCATGGTGATAAATTAAAATTTTCTTTTCTTAGAGTTTGTCATGGTGTTTTGAAATTTTGTGTAAGTTGTTTTTTCGATGGGGATTCCTAGGATTTTCATTGTTTGTGCTGTATTTGAAGTGTAGTGGAACTACCGACCGATCTTAATATTTTTTTTTTATATTAATAAAATTTCCCTCATATTGTATAAAAAAAATATATAAATAGAAAGCCCTTGATATCATGCACAACTCCTGCCAATACTAACATATAAAAACAAACAACAAAATGAAAAAAGAATATAGAAAAAAAAAAAACACTTAGAAAAATATTAGAACTCCATCTTGGATAATCGTTTGAGTCCAATGCTTAAAATGAGAAGAAAAATGACTAAAATAAATCCAATCCCTCCTTGAGAAGAAGACAAAGAAACAAAATTAAAAAGAGGAGAGATAAACAAAATGAACAAACATATAAATAGAAAGTTAAAAATAATTAAAATTTCTTAATTCTTAAGGAATAAAATCTATAAATTTTCACTTCCGGGATTTATTTTCGATCATTCAATGAATATTATTACTGATAATCACCCTGATTGGGGTAGCCTTCTTCATAAATATCCTATAATTTCTTTCAAAACAAATATAATAAGAATTAGATAGCATGACAAAGAAGGTATTTTTTTTTTTAAATTTTAGAAAAAAATATTATCAGAATGAAATAAAATTTGAAAAATATTACTGGGAGCAATAATAAAATGACCATTAGGGACACATCTATTGAGAAGAGTGTAGAAAAGGGCATTCAAAAAATAAATGATCACAAGTTTCATAATAGTTCAAACAATGAGCACTTATGGGATTAACACTAACCACGATAACATTGAGAAGATCACAACTTTTCAAACATCTATGCACAATTTTTCAAGTATGAAAAACAAGTTTAATAAAATGGCCTTTGAACGAAAGAAGCTTTATGCTAATCAACACAACGAAAGCTCTTATATAAAAAAAAAACTAGATAGCTTTGTGAGAATAAGTACTAAGAATATTCTACAGGCATGCAGAACACTAGTAAGTGGAATATTATAAATACCCTAAAAATATTGTTATGGAATAGTAATATTCTAAGAAAAAGAGTAGGAACTATTAGAAATGATGTCACAAAATTTGGTATTATTAGGTAAATTAAACTAAGTAAAAATGAAATCCTCACATTTCTCTTTCATGAAAAATTCATCAACCTAAGGATCATAATAGAAAACAACTGTCTATTGTTGCTTACTTGGAAAGTTAAAGCACTTCTAATCTTCCAAGCCACTTTAATACGATCCTTCTAAAAATAAGAAAAGAAGAGCGAGTATTATACTAAGTCAAAGCATAGTGATTTAAACAATAATTAGTTAAATAAGACATAAAATTTAAAAAAAAATCTTAATTATTTTTGATTTACACATAGAATTAATATTATCTAAGGAAGGGAAACTATTGCCTCCATTTTGCTTACTTAAAGTAGTAGAAGGCTAGACTATACTATGCATTTTTTATCTCAACCATTATAACAAATAAAATTACTTATGAAAGAAGAAAATTTCTTCCTTAAACCTTTAGCAAAAGTATAACACAAAAATAATAGTAATGATAACCCCAAATAATAAATTTACTAAGTTTAAGCCTATCACTTGTAGAAAGAAATTTTTGTTTCCAACC